AATGCATTATAAAAATTAAAATAGATGGCGACAACAACTAGTATTAAAAAAAAACGAGTTATCCTTACAGTAGTCGCATATGTCGTGTAACATCTGACATTTTACTATGGTAATAAGCAAAATTAACATTGGGTTGTAAAAAAAGCTATTTTTTTTTTCAAAATTAAAAATATCGGTAGAGCAACGACAGAACCTTACCTCAAAATTTAAAAATGCTAAATACTAAAATATTTATCCAAGTGATTATTGATTATTACTCACTTGTGTTTTTTATCCATGATCTACAATTTATTTCAGACACTTATTATCGACAGTAATTACATTTATTTATATAGTTGACACATATAAATTAGTTTATACAACAGCACACTTTACTACAAACTCGCGTGCTCATTGGTCAAATCAAATAGCGCGCGCTTCCCCTGCTTCCTGTTACACACTTCCGTCCCTTTTCACGAAATCATTCCCACAGATTGCAGGAAAGCGGGGGGAAAGATCGTCGGAAAAAAATCATTGCAAATTATTTATTTAATACGATCATTTTCACCCACAAGTGCGACATAAAATATAAGATAAAATTTTAACTTTATACAGCAAATAAATTTTACAGTCTTTAATAACATCGTTATTAGCTTGGTATGTATCTATGTAACGGAATTTTAGAATGTAATTTTCGTCCCTTTCGAAACGTCGGATTGATTTCAAATTTATCATATTTACCAAGGACCGATGACAATGTAATAATTTAAATAGTTTGTCCCATTATCTTTGCCAGGATTCTCATGATTTGCGAATAATTCATAAAACAACTACGATTTCTGCCAGTTCAATCTACTGTAAGCCGCGTACTACGTTCAACAAAAAAAAACACGCTTTTGTAGTTACACGCACTAAAAAAATAATAGTTTAAAAAAAAACTAAAAAACATGCTATTGTAGATAACAGAACTAAAAAATGAAAATTAATTTTCAATTAGTTGAAATAAGAAAATAGTGATTAACATAAAAAATAATTTTATTGTAAGAAAGCACGGGATGATTGGTCTTTTTGTAAATATTTTGTGGATATTTGTAAAATTAACGTCATTATAAAATATTATCTGAAAAGGCACCACGCTTTTTTACAATAAAATTATTTTTTATGTTAATAAATATTTTCTTATTTTAAACTTATTGTTTACGCCCACCCTTGCTGGACCAAAAAGGAGGTGCGACGCGCGGGCGCGGGAGGATGGCTGAGACGGACTGGCTGGCAAAAACTACCGCCGTGCATTATTATACTTAACGCGGCTATATCTACATCATTATTGCAACGAGGATTAATACAGTTTTGTCATATATATATATATATATATATATATATATATATATATATATATATATATATATATATTGTTGGAAGAAATTATAAGTATTCGTCATAAAGAAGAGTTTTATTGAAGAGCACCGAATTACCGAACATAATTTTGGTGACCCCCGACTATGATGTGGATGATGCAACAGGAAGGCGCCAGAAGTCCCGAAATAAGTGCATAGTGCCGGAATAAGTGGTAAACACGGACCCGAGGGAAGTACGCCCGTTCCTAGTAAATCTATTCATATCCTTGTCCATATAATTGTGCTCAATTTGTGTAAATATAGTTCGTTAATTCCGGTGCCATCGTTAGTTATACTTACCAACATAGTTCGTTGCATAAACAATAAATTGTACTTAATCTTCGTAAATAAGCAACAAGTAATATTTAAATAACTTCATTTTCATTCGAAAGTAAACAAAAGTCAACATTAATATCGTAAAATCATACAACTTAGTGCAAATCTTAATAAATAACTTGTAAACACAGTTTCTACAATCGATATTTTATCTTCGTTATATCATTGATTTCGCATTAGAATCATTTAAAATATTAATACAAACATATAGTTAAACATATCGGCTAACTATTCCAGGCATTTGTTGGGAGTAAGCGGGCGAGAAAGTAAGTGCTTTCTTCATCGACACGGCGGACCTGTTTCCTGCTACCGTGCCGTGTTACACCGTGTCGCTGCGCCTGCGGCCGGCCGGTACAAAGGTCAGATCGGCGGCCAAGTGACCGGCGCATTGTTTACGAGGTTAGATTCACTTCATATTTTATTTACAAGTTAATACTTATTTGCTAGTTATTTCGCCCACATTATGCCCGACTTAAAAGAACTAATAAAACAGAGGGGTAACATTCGCGGCCGAATAACAATATTCGAAAAGTATTTGACGCCATTAACGTTAATTAATAGTGAGTCTGAGCGCAACAAATTAATAAATAATGAATTAAATTTGAGATTAACAAAATTACAAGAATTATCGTACAGTTTCGATGAAATTCAAAGCAAAATTGAACAATTGGATCCCGATATATCGAAACAGTTGGAAGAACGGGAGGTAACCGAAAACCAGTTCTTTTATTTGATTGCTCAAGCTCAAGAGTTTTTAGATGCATACACAGATAGTAAAAATAAACATAGGGATGATGTTTCATGTCGTGGTAGTACTACATCTGTTACAAATCATAATATAAAACTGCCACCGTTGAAAATTCCTCCCTTTTCTGGCGATTCAAATACTTGGCTTCAGTTTCGAGACATGTACTTGTCTTTGATACACAATAATGAAAAAATAGATGAAATCAGCAAGTTTCATTATTTAAAATCATATCTGGAGGGACCCGCTCTGTCAGTGATTAACTCTGTCACTGTTTCAGCCGATAACTATGAAATCGCTTGGGCGTTGCTCTGCGATAGATATAATAACAAGCGTCTTTTAATAAACGAGCATGTTAAATGTTTATTTTAGATTGAAGTGCTTCATAAGGAGTCCGACCGGGGCCTGCGCAACCTAGTCGATACAATTTCGAAAAACCTGAGTGCGTTAAGAGTGTTAGGCGAGCCGACTGATAGTTGGAGCACGCTTATTATTTATATTGGGTCATCGAAGTTGGATTCCGTGACCGCGAGAAGTTGGGAAGAGTTCCGTAGCAAATTGGAAACGCATAGTTTGGACGATTTCTTCGATTTTCTTCGTAAAAGGGCAACTGTATTAGAAACAGTCTACGCCGTTAAAGCTACAAATAATAATAAAACAGAAAATCGTCAAAACTTTGCGCGATCCAAATCGTTCATGTCTACTTCGCTCGATTCACCATTCCGTGGTCATTGTTTGGCATGTAAACAAGATCATAAGTTATATGACTGTTATAAATTTAAATCTATGTCAGTCGAAGAACGAAACGCTAAGGTGTATCAATGGAAATTATGTAGTAATTGTCTTCGTAACGATAATCTATCTTATCAGTGCAGACTGGCAGGTTGTCGTATCTGTAAAAGAAAGCATAACACTTTATTACACAGGCAACACAAATTACAAAATAACCAACAATCATTCCAAGGTCAACCATCAACACAACACGATACGCAAAACAACATAGACAACGTAGGTACATCTAGGTCTACGTCTACATCATTAACGACTACTACTAACCCGACTTCAAACAATGAGGTTGGATCTAACAATGCTGATTCTTCATCTAATTGCCCCACTCCGGTAGTTACAATGTCTGCTGGCGTCTCAAACTTGGTTCTTCTTTCTACGGCTTTAGTCGAGGTGTCAAACAATGGCAAAATATTTAAATTGCGAGCTCTGTTAGATAGTGGCTCACAATCGTCCTTCATTACGGAGGCGGCTCAAGCTAAATTGGCATGCGTTAAGAATAAAAACCAATATAAACACGTGTCCGGTCTTAATAATGCAACAATAAGCATTGCCGAGCACTGCAATATCAATATTAAATCAACACACAATCAGTTCACTACTTCTGTCAGATGCTATGTCGTTCCCACCATTACTGACAACCTTCCTCAAACAGAAGTACATCTTCCTGAGCTAAATATCCCCGGCCACATCGAGTTAGCTGACCCAACCTTCTTTCACCCATCACAGATTGATCTGCTATTAGGAGCAGACATCTTCTGGGACATTATGGGATCATCTCGTGTGCAGCTCGGACAAAACAAACCAGTCTTACAGGAAACTCTCTTAGGGTGGATAGTAGCTGGTCCCATTGGGGGGAAATATTTAAAGAGTACAAAAAATAAAGTACACTGTCACTTCAGTCGAGACATACAACAACAGCTCGTCAAGTTCTGGGAACTTGAGGAGGTTCCTGTTAGCAAACCTTTCTCAAATAGTGAAGATTATTGTGAAAATCTTTACAAAGAGACCACTCACCGCGAAGCAAACGGTAAATTTTGCGTTCAAATACCTCTTTGCGATTCACCAGATGTTCTAGGCGACTCGTATAATATGGCTGAAAAGCGTCTACACCAAATGGAAAGAAAAATGAAAACTAAACCAGTTTTTAAACAAGAATATACTAAATGCAAGAGTACGAGCGTACGAGCGTACGAGAGTACGAGCGCTTAGGACATATGCGTGAAGTTAGTAAGCCAGAGCGTGGATACTACTTACCTCATCACGCTGTGATAAAGGATAGTAGCGAAACAACGCGTCTCAGGGTCGTTTTTGACGCGTCAGCTAAAACAACAACAGGTATCTCGTTCAACAATATTCAGCACGTGGGCCCGGTCGTCCAGGATGATTTGTTTTCAATCCTGGTACGATTTCGGCAATATAAATACGTTGTGACAGCTGACGTGGAAAAAATGTATCGACAGATTTTAATACAGCCTGAACAACGGCATCTCCAGATGATTTTATGGCGTGAGCATGAGGACGAACCGATTAAGATATTCCGACTCAATACGATCAGTTACGGAACCTCCTCGGCTCCCTTCTTAAGTACGAGATGTCTAGTTCAGCTAGCTGATGAATGTCACGACAATAGGATTGCTAATATCATAAGGAACGATTTTTACATCGATGACGTAATTACGGGAAGTAATTAGAAAGAGAATCTACGTTATATAATAAATTCTGTAACAGATACTCTTCATTCAGCACATTTGTCATTGCGGAAGTTTCGTACTAATGTGGCTTCAGTCCTCCAGGATAACTCGAACTCCCTGATACCCAAGGATTTAGATTTCAGTGTCCAGTCCAGTGCATTAGGACTTAAATGGGATCCAAGCACAGATACCTTCAATTTCCATGTCGACATAAAATTTTCATCAACAGCCACTAAGAGATCAATTTTGTCAAATTCAGCTCGATTATTTGATCCTCTCGGATTATTAAGTATATGTACCATAGTGCCTAAAATAATCCTTCAAAACCTGTGGATGTCTCAGGCAGATTGGGATGATCCTATTTCTGCAGATTTAGCTCAAAGATGGTTCAACTTCATATCAGGGCTCAGGTGTTTGGTGAACTTCCAAATACCTAGATTCGTCCTCGATAACGACCCTAACGCTATTATTGAGATGCATACATTTTGTGATGCCTCACAAGATGCATATGCAGCTTGCGTCTATGTTCGTTCAATCAGTAGCTCAGGCAATATAACTATAAATCTACTGTGTGCTAAAACAAAGGTTTCTCCTATCCGAGCTCAAACCATTCCACGTCTTGAATTGTGTGGCGCCTTATTAGCGGCACGTCTGAGCTCGAAGGTACTAAAGGCATTAAGATTAACATTCACAAATATTTATTACTGGACAGACTCGTCTGTTGTGCTTGGGTGGATTCATACAGCATCACAGAATCTTAAAAATTTCGTGTCCAATCGTGTCTCAGAAATCCAAGAACTAACAGCAACTGGTTCCTGGAGGCACGTTCCAGGTATCCTAAACCCGGCCGATTTAGCGTCACGTGGTCTAAATCCCACCCAAGTACACGATGCCAGTTTATGGTGGCATGGACCTTCCTTTTTAGAGGATAGTCCATCGACATGGCCAGAAGTTATAAAACCTACTCTCCATGTACCTGAAATTAAAACTTACACAACTAAGCCTAAACCTAATAAACTAACTACCAAAACTACAACATGCACTACAGTTACATCTAGCAGCACAACGACAAACACTTCTGATAAACTAGTGAACTTTGAGAATTACTCAAAATTCACGAGTTTACTGCGAAGCTTGACTTATGCTTTGCGGTTTATCTACAACATAAGACACTCTAAAGATAAAATTACAGGACACCTCACTACAGATGAAATTGAGAAGTCCTTGCATCATTTAATCAAACAACACCAGGAGGAGTGTTTCGAATGCGAACTTAATCTACTAAATAATAAAAAATGCTTACCTTCGAAATCACGACTTTTATCACTCAGACCATTCGTTGATAAGAAGGGCATTCTCCGAGTTGGTGGTCGTATTCAAAATTCACCTGAAATCTTTAGTAAAAAACATCCCATCATACTTGAATCAAAGAATCAGTTTACAAAACTATTGTTTGTTCACGAACATAAGAAATTGTTCCACGGAGGTGCACAGCTTCTGCTGACTAACGTCAGACAATTATTTTGGCCCATCGCGGGAAGGAGATTAGCTAGATCTACGGTTAATAATTGTAGAATATGTAGAATATTAAGGGCTAAAACTATAACACCAATAATGGGAAACTTACCATCAGCTCGCACGAATCCTAGCTTTGCGTTTGAAGTCGTGGGTGTCGACTTCGCTGGCCCATTTTTGACACGTGACCGAAAGGGACGTGGTTGCAAAATTATAAAAAGCTATTTATGTATATTCGTGTGTTTTACAACGAAAGCACTTCATTTAGAAATTGCATCAGACTTGAGTGCGGAGGCATTTATTATGTGTTTAAATCGCTTCATCTCTCGCAGAGGCAAACCTAGCGAGATCCATTGTGACAATGGACGAAATCTTGTGGGCGCAAATAATGAGTTCAAAAGATTTCTTGAATCATGTAGTGAATCAATCTCGTCATATGCTGCCGGAGAATTCATAAAATTCAAGTTCTCGCCCGCTTATTCTCCGCATTTCAACGGACTTAGTGAAGCCGGTGTTAAGGCAGCTAAGCACCATCTAATACGTATGGTAGGGAATACGCATTTAACTTTTGAGGAGTTAGCGACTTTATTTTCACAGATTGAGGCAATATTAAACTCCAAGCCCTTAACTCCCCTATCATCCGATCCGACAGACTTATACCCATTGTGTCCAGGGCACTTCCTGATCGGCAAGCCGCTCACTTCACTACCATCTCCCGTACTAATCGATAAAAACCCAAGATATCTGGCTAGATATGAACTCATCGATCAGATACGTCAGCAATTTTGGGAGAGATGGCGCACTGAATTTCTAAATGAGCTGCAGCAGCGATCAAAGTGGCGCATTACTCAAGGACAAATTTCCGAAGGCGATATGGTGGTACTCAAGGAGCCCAATTTACCACCACTCAAATGGCGCATGGGACGCATCTATCGGCTGTATCCTGGGACCGATGGCTTTGCACGCGTAGCAGATGTCAACACTTCAAAGGGTGTCATCCGGCGTGCAGTTACAAACCTCTGTCCATTGCCCAACGAGCAATGACCAAGAAGATACCTCGAAATCCCACAGTCTTCGAGGGGGGGGAAGATGTTTACGCCCACCCTTGCTGGACCAAAAAGGAGGTGCGACGCGCGGGCGCGGGAGGACGGCTGAGACGGACTGGCTGGCAAAAACTACCGCCGTGCATTATTATACTTAACCCGGCTATATCTACATCATTATTGCAACGAGGATTAATACAGTTTTGTCATATATATATATATATATATATATATATATATATATATATATATATATATATATATATATATATTTGTTGGAAGAAATTATAAATATTCGTCATAAAGAAGAGTTTTATTGAAGAGCACCGAATTACCGAACACTTATTAAAAATTATTTTCTACTTTTTGGTTCGGTTATCTACACAAGCGTGTTTTTTAGTTTTTAGTTTTTTTTTAACTATCATTTCTTTTTAGATTTATTTTAGTGTAGAAAATCTAAAAAATATTTACTTTTAAATTAAATCGCTTTTGATAGCACCATCTACTTTATTATAGTATACATAAAGTCATTTTACGTACCACCTTGAGAGTCAATCGTTTTCTTTAACAAAAATTGATTGACTCTCTAGGTGGTACGTAAACTAGACGCTATATAGCATGGATTGGTCTAAATGGATTGCTTTATTAAGATCATTTTATTCAATGTGATCCATTTCATTTATTTAATAATTTGGTTAAGTTGTTAAATAAAATAAAAATAAAAAAGACGGCTGTTTCTTTGTTTTTAAATTAGAACCACAATCTTTTGAGTCAGTGGTTTACACTGTATTCTATCTTATTCTGTTGCAGGCTAAATCCTATAGATGTATCTATATGTTTGTATCTTTTAAATGTGAGTTGCAAATCACAGCGATTGTAAAGAAGTTTTCACTAAAAAAAAACTCCTCGCAAAAATAATGGGAAGAATGTCCTCTTTATATCACAAACTTGATATTTATAACGGACTGACATATTATCGCAAAAATTCTCTGCCAGACAACATCTTGGTTTAAAGAAAAAGGAAAAATAAAACGAATGCAAAGTTTTAGTAATCTGTAATATGGACTACTAATTATGCAATATACAAAAATTAGTTAGAACTTAAAACTTTGTAACAACAAAACCTAATTTAGAAATTATTTTCAAACAAATTAAGGTTTGTACATCATTATCATCATCATCATAATTACAGCCCTTCACAAGTCCACTGCAGAATAAAGGCCTCCCGCAAGGAATGCGACAAAACACGGTCCTGAGCTACCTGCATCCATCGACTTCTGGAATAAAGAGTTTGTCATAAAGAGCCCGGCTGCTGGCCCCTTGGGTTCCGATGCCCTATTCCGAATTCCCCTTCATTCAGCTTACCGTTCTCTCTCGTGCCTAGTTTTGCATTGAAGTCTCCCATTAACACCGTATAGTGGGTTTTGGAGGAATGCATGGCTCTAGAGATATCCTCATACATTTCCTTCACCTCCTCATCGGGGTGTGCCGAGGTTGGTGCGTAAACCTGTATGACCTTCAGCGAATACCGTTTGGTGGTTCTGAGTATAAGGTACGCAACCCTCGTCGACACACTCCCACATCCCACATTTGGCGGCTCCGTGGCGCAGTGGCTTAGCAATGAGTTGCTGTGCTCGGTGGCTGCCGGGGACCGGGGGCCATCTTTTCGTAAATTTTTTCCTTGGGGGGTAAATTGCCATAGTTGCCACGTTTGACGAGCCGGTTGGCAACCGCATTTTTTACATTGGGATATAGCTGTTATTAGAAAGATGCTAATGCCCGTCTCCTGCCTGTTTACCACTGTCGCCTTATACGACACCCACGGGAAGATATGGGGTAGTGGATATTCTTAACTGCCACTACACGGCACAAGATTTGTACAACATAATACAATTACCATTCGTTCGATTAAATTTCATAACATAAAGGACGAATAATTTAGTAAAGCAGCAAAGAAAGTAAACATTAGAAAGTTTTGTTAGACGGAATACTCGTATGAGCACAGTTAATTATTTATAATTGGATTGTGTTGAAAGAAAATTCTTTTACTACTTTTTCCACTTTCATCGCTACAAAAATTTCACGTTCATTGATCCATCAAAGGAAAGCTCGTGATTATTAATAACAATTTATCATTTTAAGTTCGTAATATTTATTTATCATTTTAAGAAACGACATAAAACAAACAACAACCTTTAACGTTTCGTAAAGAATTATATGAATAAAGCAAGAGAAAATGAGCGACGTTTTATGGAAATATTTCTGACCGAATAATGAACGGGAACTGGAATAAGCCATTCTATGCAGAAATAATAATTATAACTGAAAATAGCCCTCAGGGGTTGAATGAATCGGGGGAAGAATGTTATGCATAGTAGGAAAATTTAAATAGTTAAAACTATCTATAATATACTCCGCATTACACAGGATGCAGCTACGAGTATATTATGGTTGAAACAGGATTGTGTCGACTCCACCGTGATGGATCACGCTCTACCAGAATACCAGCGTAAAATAGCAACTTAATGTTGCTGCGTTTCGTATGATGCGTGTAAGAACCGGATACCTTTTTACTGGAAACGAGATTTACTGGAAATTGAATGTGACAACGCATCTACATTTTTATTCTTATTCGAGGATAGATGTAGATGTCAATTAGCCATAGCATCCATTAACAATCAGGTGGACTCTGTGCTCGTTTTTTACTCTTATTCTTGTTGTTTCTAAACTGCTTAAATATTAACAAAAAAATAACTAAGCAGTTTAGAAACAACATTTTAAAAATTTTCTAAAATATTAAAAGGCGTTCATGTGCTTGCTGACCTTCAGTGAACATTGTACAAATAGTGTTTTTCTATTTGTTTACATTATTTAATTAATAAGTTAAAAAGGTTGATTCTTTAGAAAAATAAAATGGATTCAATATTAAAGAAGGCTTCGAATAAAAAAAATTAAATATAAAATATGCTTAAAATTTAAACCAATGATAACATAGTACCGGCCTTGCCACAAACTTGTGTCTGAAGTCGAGACTTTGTTAAACAAAGTCTCGGATTGTGGGCGACAAAATCTAGTCCAGTTCAATCCACAGAATACAAAAATTTGCGCGTTTAACGCTAAAAAGAACCCCTTAGTCGTATCTGCTAAGTTTCAAGGCACTCCCCTTGTTGCCTCAGCCAGTACCGGAATCCTCGGCGTCGCGACATATTAAATGACGATCTCTGGGCTGAGGCTCCCCAGTATCAGCTCCTTTCATTTGATCACATCCAGCGCAGAGCTGATCAAATCGTCGGCGACCGAACTCTTTCCAATCGGCTGGACTCACTGGCACTGAGAAAGAGATGTTGCATCTCTTGCGTATTTTATCGCATTCACCACGGGGAGTGCTCTGAAGAATTGTTCGGACTAATTCCAGCCGCACAATTTCACCATCGCACATCGCGAAAAACTGGCGATACCATCTATGTCATCTGCAATTTAAAAGAAGTTTTCTTCCTCGCACAACGTCCTTGTGAAAATTACCATCTGCGTTTTTCCGGACCGATACGAATTGGGGGCCTTCAAGAAAAGAGCGTACTCATTTTTAAAAGGCAGGCAACGTATCTGCAACTCCCCTGGTGTTGCAGTTGTTTATGGGCGACGGTAATCACTTAACAATAGTTGAGCCGTGTGCTCGTTTGCCCTCTCTTCTATAAAAAAAAACCATTTGGTCAATTTGCGTTAATATTTATTACATGTGAAATGAAGTATGGATACAAAACATACTTCATATGCATCAAAATTTCATGTGCAAATGCTGCCTTTTCACTTTGAAGGCAATAGTTAATTGAATCTCGAACTGAGCTCAAGAGAAACTAGTATGTGCTTGAACCATTATATGTCAGAACTTACAAGCTAGGAAGATTTCATTAACTATGTTCAAAATGTCCTAGAGTATTAACTGGACACGTTGATAAGTAAACGTTGCTCGGTACGGCGTAAAGCCAAGTCATTTTACAACAAAAATTTAGTTTTCAATTCATAAGAAAACAAATAGTAGTTTTACTTATATTTTTTTTTATTAAAAAATCTTTTTCTGATGAAGTAAAAATACCTGTACTTATACCACACTTAAGGTATTTTACGACACTGTATCACTTAGAGATGTTTTCATGTATTTGTAAAACTATTATAAACTAGCAAACCGCCCAGGTTGTCCTAGGTTGAATCGTCATTTAGACTATTTAAAATAATTACCAAATCAATATTTAAAATAATAAAGTAGACCTGTGCTTTGCTTTGCAGGCAGAGCAGACATGGCAAACGCTCTGTTCCGGCGAAAATTTTCTACTGGAAGTTAACCAACAAAAACAGTGGGATATTCCATTGGTACAGATCGTGCAGAAAGATTTCTTTCATTATATCCATAGTGACCAATTAAAGCACGCCTTTTAGCTGTTTCGACTAAAGAATCTAGTCACTGGTTACACGCTTTACGATCAAGTAATCTCGGCACATTATTTGATGGGGAAAGCTTGCGCATCGCCGTAGGAATCCAACTAGGAGCGGCGATTTGTCAACCCCATCAGTGCCCCTGTGGTAGCAGCGTCGACAAGAAAAGTGCTGGTAGGTTTTCATGGCATGGTTCTTTGAACGATGTCATCCGAAGGGCTCTTGTCTCTATAAATGGTTCCTCGGTTTTAGAGCCTTGTGGAATATTTAGAGACGATGGCAGGAAACCCGACGGTACTACATTGGTCCCTTGGGAGAGAGATAAAGCCCTAGTGTGGGATGTTACTTGCGTAGACACTATGGCGGCCTCTCATCTCAGGGGTACCTCGTTTAGACCCGAGGCGGCATCAGAGGCAGCTGAACTGAGTAAGTGGCGCAAATATGAGTCGCTGAGAGATGACTACATATTTGTGCCAATTTCTGTAAGGACTTTCTGTCCATGGGGTCCACATGCGGTGACGTTCCTAAAGGAACTCCATCCGCGGCTAGTCGTTGCTGCTGGTGATAGGA